TATTTATCTTTTTTTTTTTTTTTACAAACATTTTTTTTTCTCTCTATGCCAGGAGTTTGAGAGATACAATATATCTCTCTCCTCCATTCATAGAGAGAGAAAAAAACAAGGGGGCCGGGATGCACAGTGACTGATCACTGTGATAGCCAATCAGAGGCTATCACAGCGATCATGTGACCCGGGACTGGGAGTCCCGGGTCCCGATCATTAGAACGGGACCCGGTGCTCTCAGTGACACAAAAAAGTCCAAAAACACCGGTTTGCTGCATTTTACCGCGTTAGAGCGTTTTTTCAGCTAAAAAAACTCCTCTGGAAACTCACTAGTCCTGGGTTTTTTTTTCCAGACAAAAAACGCCCCTGCCAAAAAACATTGATTACAGTGTATGTGTGCATGGACACATAAGATAACATGCTAGGGAATTTACTGGCCAAAAACAACAGCTGTAAAAACGTCCAGTGTGCATGAGGACTTACAGGTACCACAGGGATGTTGGTAAACCGTTTCATGGCCTTGTATGTGTTTTGTAGACACTTTGAAGAAGACGTATCCTAACAGGATGCTGGCAGTGTAGGTGTGGCATTGGGATGTTTTTAATATGACAAGTACAATATAAAAGTTGTGTTGATACTGTGGATCTGCACTGCATCTGAGCATTACAAACCAAAAATGCTATTTAATTCATTGTTGTTAATATAAAATCAAACTCGCACATCTATCCATTTCTCCATGCTTTATTTTGCTGAGAAATCATTTTGAAAAACACCCCCTGGCATTTCTGGTAGTGGTCATCTTAAGAAAGGGCAGATGATTGATGTAGCCGTTACTTCCTGCCCTTAGCTCAGGCTTTGGCTAAGCTGGGAACCTTCCCTCCCCTCCTGAAGACTGCTGGGATGTATGACATCATTTGCCTAGGTATAGAAACCAGGAAATAACTAAAGAAATGTAAAAAAAAATGCTTTAACCTCCCTAATGGTATTTCCGAGTGTAGCTCGGGGTAAAATGTCTGTACCAAAAGCGGTAACCCCGAGCTACCCTCGGGCTTACCATGCAGCGCTGTATAGGGAGTCCCTGCAGCACTTACCTTGTTCTTCGCTCCAGCGATGTGTCCCCTGCAGCCTCCCCGGCCATCTCCTCCGGCAGATGCCGGCATCCGGCTCCTGTGTTCCGGTCCCTGTGACGTCGGGAAGTACGGGCGGCGGCGGGGGAATTTTGAAATGTAAAAAAGTCATTTTTTTTTCAAAACGATTTTACATAGTAAAACATTGCTGTTTCAACCCATTTCACATACATTTTGTTCCTAGTGCTCTGTCCTGTCCCCTGTCTGCATTTTGAATGTTCTTTCTGCCTGGAAACTTAGAAAAGTCCACGGCGTCCAAAAAGTGTCCCTTTAGGTCAAAAGCGGGTTTAGATCAGCTAGAGAACAGCGATAGTAAATCAGAACCACTTGCAGAATTGAGTGATAATGATTCGTGGGGAAATTCATCATCAGACACTGAAAACGATTTTGCGACTTTGCTCAGCAATGTGCGAACTTGGCGCTATATTTCAAATTTCAGTGTTTTTGGTTTGATTATATTATTGAATTAAATGTAATATTATATTATTTTTTATGATTATTTATTAAATTATAATTTATGATTTTGTGTTTCAAATTTTATCATACCCGGGATGTTTAATAGACTCTTGTTCGGACAGATTTCAGTGAGTTATTCCTAAATATTACAGCCTACAATAAAAAAAACTACATATTTCCATGCAGAATAATGGTACCGCTTTCAGCACCAAAAATCTGAAATAATCATACCGCTAGGGAGGTTAAACAAGTAAATATGATGTATAGTCCATGTTGAGTGAAGTTCTGCTTTAAGTTTGGGGAACACTGGTGTAGCTCAATATTTGAGTTAAAATGTCACTTACAGTATATCATCTTGAATTAAAATTTTGGAATTTAGACTTTTTTTCATTAAACTTCAAACAGCCAGGTCACTTTTCAGTGCTGTGATAGTTTGATTATTTGGTCATGCAATAGAGTACCCAGTTTAGTTTTATTACATTTCTTTTGAGACTGTGCTTTTTTGGTGGTTTTTAATAATCATTTTTTTAAATATATAAAGGAAAAAAGTTTCCCTTTACTTCTTTATAAAGCATATCATGCAAACCTTGTAATTATTTTTCCTATATATAGTTTGATTGTAGACTGCACAATTTGCCCCCTTCTAAAATGGTCTAGCTAGATTTTGCTTTTAGATATCAAAAACTATTTAAGTGTATGCTATATATCAAAAGAACAACTTTCTATATATAAAAAAAAATCTAGCTCTTTGCTGCATGCCTAAAATTGTCCTATCTTGTCATCATCTCATATGGTTGTTTTGGGTGCCAGTAACACTGTGTACTATTGGTGCTAACTGCTGATGATCTAACTAGATTGAGCATGGGCAGCACCAGTGCTTACTACTGGGGTTCCAAGAAGAGCACCACTCCTTTCTTTTGGTCTTCCACACTGGCTGATCACAGCCAGTGTCAACAGCTGTCACAAGGCCAGTGGTTCTGTGCATTTTGCCTGTGATTTTCACTGTCTACTGATGGCATAATCACAGGCATCTGCTCTGTAAACAAGGACAGCTGTAGATATCCTGTTAGAATGACAGGTGCCCTGGCCTGCCCTTTAACTACACTGGCTGTGCGAGAAGTGGTTAAATGAATTGTGCTGAAAAGAGGCTGGAGGCTGCTACTGCTGATTTCCTTCTGAAAATGCCAGTTGCCTGACATTATTACCAATCCTCTGATTTCATTTATTTTTCTGCCACTGACTTGGGTCACTTGTGCAGCAAATAAAGTCCTAGAGATATCCAAATGTCTGATCGGCATACTTGTTCCAGGTCGTGACTCGGATGTCATCAGCTTGGTGGCCAGCCAACAGACATTTTCAGAAAAAAATCTGCAATGGCAGCCTCCAGGTTTCTCTGAGCCAAGATTTCAACTCCTAATGTGTAGTCAAGCTGTAAGGTATAGCTCTTCTACCAATATTGTATTATTCTGTTGCCACTACCACCAATTTATTTGTAGACTGTTTTTAATGTGTGTATGGTTTATAGACTGTTCCCCCTTTGGTAATATTTAGATTTTATTTTCTGTTTGGCACTAAATTATGTGCATAATATAATAGAGACAGAATAAGCTGCAGGGCCTGAACAGTTTGAAGTAGTGTTGGCATATAGTATAAGAGCCTTGACAAAGACAATGTGAGGTAGAAGGCAAGTCTTGCCTTAGAAAAACCAAGCTACAGAGGAATAAATTGTTTGGCACATGTGCTTTTTATAGCATTGGACTAATGACGCTTCTATCGATTAAGATATGCCTGATAGAATATCAGTAGTTTGTTCATGGGTTCTCTTTAATTGCAGCTGCAATTTTTCCATCTTAGAATGAGTGATGCTTCCTTTGTGCATTTTCCTAAGCTGTGTTCATTAGTATATCAGTGAGGTCAAGCAGTGCTTTTACTAAGGATGTGAAAATCCAATATGGGTACATAGAATATTTGGATAGTATATAATCTGAATTACATTTATCTTTATTTTATGGAAATAACCATTTTGCCACACAGACTTTTATCTTTTCCTATAACCATTTTGGATTATAAAGACCTAAGCTTACGTGGATGCTCTCTTCCTTTTGAAATTGTGGCTTTGTGTGAAGCATGAGCACGTTTTAATTTCATATCCTATAAACCATGGAGTGAGTGTTCACAGCAGTATGCAGTGGCAGAAAAGGCTACAGAGTTCCAGCAGCTTGTTCTCGGTATGTATATAAACACACATGAGATTTGTATATGGAGCGCTATACTATTCTCTCAGTTCTATCCATAACCACACAGCACATGTAGATTTATGGTGGAATAGTATAAATAAAGTCTGATAATGCAGCACTTTTTAAAGTACTTTTGAAGTCTTGAGTAGACTTCAACATTGTATATATATGCCTATATGTTGGCTGTGAACATTTGTACTAAGACACTAAGGATTGCTAAATGTTTTATATCATGAGCAGTGCTCACTGCTTCTTTTCAAGTCTTCAGCACATTTTGATACAAAATGTATAATTCTATATATACTATAATTTTCCTTTTAGGATTGCCTATTTCAGGGTCTGAAATTGCCTGCAGTACTTCAAGCATTTAATGTGTTTATTTTTTTTTTTAAATCTACTTAAAATTATCATCTGAAAATGTACTTTACTTTTTACCTTCAACATTTTTTTGTTGCATTGAATTCTCAGGACAAAGCCTCCAATAAATTACATTTACCAGGCACCTGAGAGTTCCCAACAGGAACAACGGTGTTCTTCTTTTATATATTATAGGTGTTTCATGTTGCAGATTTTATCAAAAATTTTTTTTTTTTTAATTTATCTTGGAGCTTCAAATTAACTTGCTAGTGTGATTTTTGTTTTTTGAATTACTTGTTTGCCATTGTTCAGGTGTTCTAAAATAATGCCATTCTCAGAACAAATGCTTTAATCGAGCAATGGTGAAAGCCAAAATGTTGGTTTTGGGAATCCTTCAAGAGTCCCAAACTCACTGTAATATTTTCACTTTAGTAGTTTTCACCATCTAGCACCAGGTTATGATGGCTGGAGTTAATGTATATTTGTGTTCTGTAATTTGTAACCGTTCAGTTATTTTCATTACCTGAGTTGCTTTGTGTTTTATCATCATGCCATTAATTGCGCTGCTTGTTTGCCTGTAACAAGGATGTGCAGACTCCATTATAAATACGTCAGAAAGATATAGCAATGGTAGTGGTTTGTGTTGAGCTGGAACAATTGAACAATTTTCCCTTGATTTGTGTTCTCTCCAGTCTAAAGTATAAATTGGGCTAAAGAAATCTTGAGAGCAGAACATAATTTTGTATCAAGACCCAAAGCAGCAGCCTCTATTTTGCTAGATGTAATTATTTTTAGGTAAATAAGTTAAAAGTTTATGCTTTAGGGTACTTACTGAACATAATGGTGAGCAGTGCGATAGGCATCACAAATATTCCAACCAGCAGGTCTGCCACAGCCAGTGACATAAGAAAGTAGTTAGTGGCATTTTGTAGTTTCTTCTCCAGTGATATTGCCAAGATTACCAGGATGTTGCCACCTATTGTAGGGATAATAACCATAAGTGTCAGAAGTGCCAGCCAGCACTTTGTTGATTCTGTCTCTGGATTGGTGCTGTTTAAGAAACTGCCATTATGAGAATTGTTGAGTTCTGACATTTTGTGCCAAAGAGTAAAGTCAGGAGGTACTCCAGATAAATGGTGATATGTCAAAATGGCTTCTTCCATGGCTCTTCTACCATTTCACCTAGCCAAGCTATATCATTGCCATGCTGCCCGAAGTTGTATCCACCATTTTTTATATTCAGAAAATAACCATACTGTTCCTGACATCTGTGGTCTCTGTTGTGTATGTGACAACAGAATCCCTGAAAGATAGTAAAGTTGAGTATATGAGGGTTTTTTTTTATTAAAAACCTTCTTTAAATCTATCAGTTGGACGATATTCCACTTGTGTCGTTCTTTATTCACCAGCCTTTAGCATCCTTTTTTCCTTTCTTGTGCCACGGAAAGACAGACCTGATTTTATTTGTGGGAGGTGTTTCTTTAACCCTTTCTTTGCCAGAGATGTTGCTCAGATGGTCTAATCTGTGTCCGAATTTGACTTTCCTTCCTGAGTCCATCTAGACAAGACAGAAAAAAAAATGTTAGTTTATCTCAATAATATTTAAAATACCCATGGTACTTTGTTTTTAATATCTCTTAAATACCATGCTCTGTCCTAGTAATGAGGCAGATGAGGGATTTGGTTTATTTAAACCCATCTGTTTTGATCAAGCTTGCTGATATAGCTGTCTGACTCCTGACCCCCCCCCCCCCCCCTTCAGAATGGATATTATCTGCGGGTAACCTAACCTTGCTTAAAGCTTTAACTCTTGATTTTTGGTGGCATGGTTCAATTTCCAAGGACACGTTGTGACTGATCTGGTTTATCCAAACACATTCTACACATCGAGGCTGAATTATTAAATAAGTATAAAATGTACACACAACGAAGGGTGAAGATTCATGTCAATGATTCGTTCATGTACAAAAGAAGAAAATTTTCCTTTTTACGTGATTGGATATTTGAAGTATATCTTCACTCTGCTTAAATATCTGGAAGACTACGGAATATCCCATACTTTGTTTCTACATGACTGTTACATTTAACAATACATTTTAACAATTTCTTCTCAATATAAATATTTTTAGATGACAATATGTAAAAATGAATGGTACTTTTCTGGGGACATGGCTACTAAATCTAGTTCTTTTGCAAGTTGACATGTTTGTGTCTTTGAAGTTTCCTTTCTGGTTAATTTAACTCTGCGCAGTCTTTGTTCTGAGTTCACTGCTTATATTTTATGGACAGTATAAAGATATTGATCTGTTGTCCAGAGGATTCTGCATGCCAAACCTATTCTGCAATTGGGTATATAGCCACATGTTACGTGTTTTTATATAGAATTTTCATTCTCCATTATTGTGAGGAGTGCTGCTAAACAGCGAAATGGAGACATGGCTAGAAGGGGCAATTGGTGATTGCGCAAGTGTAATTGAATATTTATGCTTGGCATTCTTCATTTTAAAAGATCACTTGCCTAAACACATTCAATATATTTAGTTAACTCAATAACCTAAATGTAGGTGAAAATACAAGTTATCGGGTTGCGAACTAACATGAATGAAGTGTTCTGTACACTGGAGAGGTGACTGTCAGTTTTCTACAACTAGTACTACAAACACATGTCTGATGTCATACTCACCAGAACTGTACAGCTGTGAGAACTTTCTGTGATGCGATTTGTTAGTTTCTTCTTATAAATTTTGTTTGCTCTCTCTTCTCAAAAGTTTAAGTAGTGTCATGTCACTTTTCTTCTATGCAGAGGGTAGATTGCAGTGCTCACACATGTATGTGCCTCCAGGGAGTCTTGGTGGACCTTTGTTAACGGCGTGTGTCTAGTGTAGAATCTCCCGAATTGATTCACTCAGTCTCCTTAAGAGAATCTAGTGGAGGTTGAGAGCTGGAGGTCAGCCAGAAGCCAGGCTTCTCTTGATTTCTTCTTAACCCCCCCTTCTTTCTTTTCCTTTAGTCCCTCCCACCCAATCCAGCTGCACCCTTGGGGGCTTCACTACCAGTTACTGACAACCGACCCCCAACCTCAACACAAAAAGAGGGAGATATTTACCACATGAAATTCTAGCTAGAGAGAAGATTATTACAGCACCCATTCAGCTAATTAAAAACACACATACTTGTACGATTTTAACAAATCATTTTTTTTTTTTCATTTTCTATTCTCAAGTTTCCGTTGCTTTACCAATCCTCTCCTGTGTTTGTTTGTTTTTGTTTTTTTTTCTTTGTCATATCTATAGAATATTCATGAATGTTGGCTTGCAGTATTCAAATTTGATTTCTGTTTAAGAGGTAGCAGTTTGCATAAGTTATCTCTGCAATGGTTAATGTATGCCGATGGGCAGTTCCTCATAGTTAATAAGAGAGAGGACTATGGGTTATGATATTACTGGGATCAGCACCTCTCAACCATATGAATCTGGCTGTGTCTGCAGAGCCAAACAATGCCTGGAGAATTTCACGTGCAGTTATTGTATACACTGAACAGGCAGTGCATATACCTCTCCAATGAAAATCAACTTTTCTCTTTAGTAGCTGCACAGGCACTTCCCACACATTAACCCCTTGGTGAACTTTGTAATCCTCATCAAAATGTAAAACCTGTTCTGGACATCTTCCTGTTCATGCTTTAGCCAATAAATACTGAAAGAACTTTTTTTTTTCTCTGGCTCTCTGCCGTGCAGTGACCACATTTGTGACCTGTATACATAGCACAGAACGTTGTATAGTCCCGAAAAGAAATCTAGGAACATTTTTTTTCTGGAGATTTGACTGTTCTCAGTGTAGCTCCATCTGATAAATCACATACGTTTCTGGTGTTTTGTCTTCCTGGGCTTACAAGATGACGCACAATTATTCATGTATAGTAAAGAGGATGTACTGTGATTTATCAACGCTGGCTGCATACGTTGTCATTTGATACAGTTTTGCTGGAAGGAACTGTATGGTAGCAATTTCCATTTGCTTTTTGTTTTTAAAAAAAATAGTTTTATTTCATTTATTATGTTTGAAGTTGATTTCACCTTTAACTGGATGACATTTGTTTGCTGAAAATCCTCTGTATCATGATTTTTTTTTCTTTCCCATAAATACTATTTACTACACTTTTATTTATTTAATGCCAGCATTTTGTTTTGCATATTTTTTTATGTTGCTGAGCCTCCTCCACCTTTTTTTCAGCCACCTCCTGCTTACATACATGCACTGTATTATTGGCACATCATTGGTCTAGATCAGCCTTTATCAAACAAGGTGGCTAGGCACCCTGGGGTGCCTTCTGTGTTGTTCCGGGACGCCTTGGCAAAATGCCTAAAAATTTCTCTAAATTGCACAAAAAGTGTGTACAAACGAGCGCAGGTGGATCGAGATTGCTTTTTTTTTTTTTGTGTTACACAGTCATGTGTTTTCATTGTACAACTGTACAAGCTTGAACACTGTGCAGGCCAGCTGCCAGTGCCCTAACAACCACTGACATCATTGGTTTATGAGGACAACAATATTGCACCTGCACAGCATCCTTATTTGATGCCCCCGCCCCTTTCGGTCAGCACTGGGTTCGTGTTAGCTGTGTGGGGGGGGGGGGGGGGGGGGGGGGGGGGGGGGAAAAAAATGAAGAAGAAATGCCAGAATACTAGTCACTACCAGTGTGCAAAAGTGTATTTGCTTTGGAAGAATAAATCACCTCTAATGTTGGGTGTCTTACATAATGAAGCAACATCCACACATGTAAAACTATTAGTTTAACTTTTTATAATTTAGAATGGGGTGCCTCTCGATTTGTCCATAATTTTAAAGGGTGCCCTGACTGGAAAAAAATTGCTAAACACTGCTAGATCAGCATTCTGATGGTGATAACAGTGTACTATGCCTTTGAAATGTGTCAACTTGGTGTTTCCACCAGGGGTGCATATGACAGGGTTACAATGCAGGAGCACAACCGAAAGAGTTGTCACCCCATAACAAGAAGTGATTGAACAGCACCTTTGACAGACACCAGGCATCCTTTATTGAAAGATGCATATTTAGGACAATTGAAAACAATTTTTGAATTTACAATAACATGTTAAAGATTATACAATACCATACTGAATGCATATTATATCCATTGCCTGGTATCTGCAGTTTTAGAAATGTTGCATTTTTGAAGGATTCATGTAATGACTTAATTTTACAAATAAACCTCTTAAGTGCAGGTTCACACCTAAGCGTTTTCCACAGCATTTTGTAGAAACGCACTAAAGGCCATTTAACATGATTTCCTGTGGGACACGTTCACCCAGTGCGATTTTTGGAAAGGGACTTTTTTTAAACGCAAAAAGTTGCATTTTTGGTTTTATAGACTTCAATGGAGATGCTGCAGAAAAACATGTAGTACGTATTTTGCGGTTTAATCTGCCGAGCAACAAGAAGAAAAAAAATGCACTACAGAAAAGGATCAAGCGCAAACTGCATAGGTGTGAACCTAGCCTAAAACAGGGTGCCTCCATAATACTTTGGGCATAGCTGAACTGAAAGGTTAAAAAATGCTTGCAGTCTCTTTGTATAGCGGAGTCTTTCAGTTGGTCAGTCCTGTTCCTACAAAGAGAAAGGAGTAGAGTGTGTGTCCCCTCTCTGTGCATCAATCTATAGCAGGGGTCTCCAAACTTTTTAAACAAAGGGCCAGTTTCCTGTCCTTCAGATTTTAGGGGGCCTGGTCTGTGGCCATTGGGGGTTGAAATTGTCCTGGTGTCAGTGGATGTAAACACTGCATCTTTGGTATTAGGGGGGGATTAGTGCTCCGTTGCTGGTGTCAGTGGGAGGAATAGTGCCCTATCCCTGGTGTCCATTTGAGTGCCTCATCATCGGTGTCAGTGGGAGGCATAATGCCCTGTTGTTGGTGTCAGTGGGAGAATAGGGCCCCATTGTTGTCAATGGGCCCCATTGCTGATGTCAGTAGCAGGAATTA